CTAATTTGTGCTCACAGGCTACAATTGTTTCTTTCTATCCTGTAACTCACTTTAGGCTGTAATTAGGTATGTTGCCATCCAAGACAATGCATTCAATGATGCATCTTCTGCAAAGTCATTCCATATTGTATTCATGGGCAAGTCTATGAGTATCCCTTATCTGAAAAGCTTGGGTATTCCATATTTTAGATTTTTTAAGATTTTGGAATACATACACATACCTGGTGAGATATCTTGGAAATAGGAATGAATTTTAAATTACAAATCATTTACCATATATATTTATGTGTCAGCTGACCTCTTGTATATGCTAAATGCAGGCTTAGGGGAAGGATAAGGGGCAGGCTGCTGGGGAACTGTGGGTGTGAATTTTAAATAATATATTAAGTGTATTTATTATCTTTTAATCTGTTTTACAACACTGTACTATTTACTTGTTTTTTAACCTTTGTATTGCACTTTTAATCTGTCCTAACATGGGTGACAATGGGGGAATTTTAATCTGTTTTTACCACACTGTAGTATTTACTTGTTTTTTAACCTTTGTATTGCACTTTTTAAACTATGCCTAAAGTGTGATTACTAGCCACCTTGAGTCCCCAAGAGGAGAAAGGCAGAGTATAAATAAATTTAGTAGTAATAATAATAACAACAACAATAATAATAGGGGCCAAACATATGGATTTTAATATGACCCATGGATAGGTCAAGTGTCATTGCATGGATAGGGGGCACTGGTATAATGACAAAAGAATGACATAGGTAACGGCAACCATCCAGTTTACTTGTCTGGACTCCATCCTGCCACCTCAGTGGATGGAGGCAAGCAGTGCAACACTCCTAGACCTAGTTCAGAGTACTGCCACTCTCGATCAGACTAAAATTAAGTGTGCTGTGTAAATTGGCACACTTAAATCTATGAAAGCGACAACTTTGTTCTCTCAGTCTCTAAGGTGCAAAAGATCAATTTGGGTACTGATACTAATATCCCAAATTAACATGGCTATGAATTTGAATTCTGGTCATACACCACAATGGAGCCAGATGAAGGGAGCATAGACTACAGTTTCCTTGGTTACTGAAAAAGGCAAACACATGAGACAAAACTCATTGTCTCTCATAATGCTTCTCCAGTTTCCCAAATCAATATTATGAATCAGCAGGGGGAAAAGCCCTGAAGTCCAGGTCCATAAGAATGTATGGGAGAGGTCTCACAACCCACAAAACATTCACTAGAACTGCCTTTCTTTACCCATTCCTGACAAAACAGGAAAATGGCCCAGAGGTAATCATAGCATCCAAATTCAGATGGAAGCAATGGCTCAAGTCACAATAAATTACACCGCAACTACTTTCTACTACATACTTCTTGGAAAACATATGTGTTACAGAAAATGGTGTAGAGTAACCTGGAAGACCAATCTCTCTCAGAAATGACCCACTTATTCAGGATTTTTCCTCACTCCTAGAGACACCTCTGCTCTTCCATGTTTTCCCTCCTTCATCTTCCCCCTTCCATAATTTCTGCTGCTGTTAACAACTTATTTTGCTTCGTTACCATTTCATCATATGGACTTTCCAACCCGTTGTAGGACTCTGACAACACAGTTCCTGGATGGAGCCTGCAGGATCCCTTCACATGAGATACAACTACTTCTAGCAGGGCTCCATCTTCAAACTGTGCTGTCAATGTCCTACGACAGGGCAAGGAGAACATGGGAGGTTTCCTATGTTCTTGTTGCCAACAATGTGGACAGCACAGGGGGAAGTCAGGTAGCAATGCTTATTAGTTATACAAAGTTCATATACTTTCCACAGCTCTGTTTCAATACAGGTTGAGTATCCCTCATCTTGGGGCCAAAAGTGTTCTGTATTACATTTTTTGGAATTCACACAATCAGATATCTTGGCAATGGGACCCAAGTCTAAACATGAAATTAACTGATGTTTTATACACATCTTATTTATGTTGCTTGAATGTCATACATAATATTTTTAATAAATGTGTGTATAGTGAACCCTCGGGAAGCAAGGAGGACATTATCTCAGCCAACCATATCCTGGAAGTTCCAGATTATAAACAAGATAGGTTTCAGAGGCTTGTTTGTATGTAAATCATTGTTTATAACTTGAACATTTTTTTTAATTTTGGAAAGCATAGGAAAAGGTTAACACCCCTGCAATGTTTGTTTTGCTATCTGAAACCCTGTTCAGAAGATTTCACTTCACTTTCTGTCCCTGTGACAATTGGATTTGGACATTTTGGGGTTGCTGTGGGAACACAGTTGCTGCAAATGGAGTTCAAAGTGGAAAACTGGCATTTTTCTTCTTTGTGGAATCACAGGTTATCTCTAAATTTTGGCCCCAAAGCCTGTTCTCAACTAAAACATGAGGTCCACTTATACATGAGTATACACAGTAAGTGCCTGATATTTAGGATCTCAACACACTAGAGAACTAATCCACTTAAAATCCATTTTCTGCCTCCTGCAGAATTCTGGGGTTTGTAGCTTGGTGAGGCTGCTCAAGGCTCCTCCCTAAACTACAAATCCCAGAACTCTGCAGAATTCATTCTCAAGTGTGACAAAGTAGCTGGAAGCACACTGTGAACCTAATACTTAATGGCAAATTGGGGAATGCCCATGCTTTGGGATCAAGCTTTTTGGCAAATAACAATAGATGGACTTGGATTTATGTGTAATGATTACTGGAATGGCCTGGCTATGATTGTGGACAATATGGTTTCATAGTTGTAATTGCAATGTTTTATATGTTTTAATGCTCTTAATCTCATTTAAATTTTAATTGAAATGTTTATTTAATTATATATTGGATGTATATTGTTTTTAAGGCATTGACTTATTGCCTAAGCTGTAAGCTGCCTTGAGTCCTCCTCGGTTAAGAAAGGCAGGCTATAAATATAGTAAATAAATAAATGAAAGAAGTGAGGAAGCAGATGAAAAAGTGTGAAATTGGCCCTGGGACTGCTGATCATGCCTGCCTCTAACATCATGGTGTTATGAAACAGAAACTTCCACAAAACAACAGCTGCAGCAATAGGGAGTACCTGGAGACAATTCTGGATAATGACCCTGTTTTTCTCAGCAAGACTGGTGGCAAGAAAAAGACTGCATCTCAGAAATGTTCTGGTAAAATGTCAGAATTTTCATCTTAGTGCTCTCCTGAAATACCAAGTAAGAAGACTGTTGATTCAGGAAGATGTTTTCTCGTGATAAAAAGGATGCATCTCAGATATATTCTCCTAGAAACACCAAAATGTTTCTCTTAGTGTTCTGTTGAAATACCAAGAAGACCATTGACTGGGAAAGAGGATTCACCCAATTACCCTATACTTTTTTCTATATCCTACCTCAAACATGAACATATGTATGGGGCTTATGGCATAATTAATGGATTTGAGAAAATTAAAATATAACTTTCCTATAGAGGTAAATATTTATATAACTATTATAAATGCTATACCTTCACTATATATTAATGATCTAATTTTATTTATTTATTTATTTCATGCATTTATATCCCGTCCTTCTCACCCCTGAAGAGGGATTCAGGGTGGCTTACAACAGGCAACCATTAGATGCCAAACAATACATTAAAATACACTGTTACAATTAAAACAGCAATTTAAAAAAATGGTAAACATTCAATTTAAATAGTCCACCAGTTCAAAACCATAGTCCAGGCCGGTCCATTGTGGTCACTTAAAACATTCTCTACCAAGTTGCTACATCTACTTCTGAAATGCTTGATTCCACAGCCAGATTTTAAGTTTTTTACGAAAGGCCAGGAGGGAGGGGACATTAGCTGCCTGCAACTATCCATTACCTAAATAGACATTAGGGTCCATACAAGATAAGCTTTGCAAAAGTCCCCCTTTCCTATTCTCTTTCTCCCTCCTAATCTTTCTCTTTCTGTATGAGTGTATCTCCACTGGTAACCTGCAATTCTCGAGGAAGATCAGCATAATTTGGGAGGGGTTTCCAAAAAATCCCCCATTCTGGCCCTGTTTAGCTTTTAACAACAATCACAGGATCAGATTCCTATATCAAGATCTGTTTGTTTCCAACATAAAATTGCCATAGGAAAACACTGAATTATACACCACAACACAGAAACACAGACACCTTTCCACAAGGTTAGACTATTTGTTTTTCTGAGCAGCGGTTCACCAGAGGGTTGGATTTTCCCCATGGACTGCCAAGCAGTGTTTTTAAGTGGAGATGCCAGGGATGGAACCTGCCACCACCTACACACAAAACAACTCCTTTTCCAGCTATGGATCCTCGCCAAAGTATATTGGATGTCTATTAAAATCTGGATTGCTAGGTTTCATGTGAGCAAGGTGCTTCTATGTATGGATACACCCAAAAGAAACACACAGCTGTAAACACTCCACAGTGTACAAAGTTTTCAGCCCTGACTCTTTCCATCGATCAGTGTCAGCACAGATCAGACCCCTGGTCTCATTTGCATAGTGCTGAAGGTATATTTCATTTCAGCAGGTGTGCAGCTTTAACAGACACCGAAGCACAGCAGAGATTAAATACTATGGTAATAAGAGGCAGAAAAACCTCAGCAACTGTGTCGCCGGGAAGAATCCATTTAAAACGATGCAGTGAACACACCCCAACATGCATTCGTTTCCATCAGATGAGCATGTGAGGAATAATACATTGTGGTCATCACAGAGGTGCTTGGCATATCCTCCCACCCATCTAATATCAATTCGTCTCCGTCCTTGATCCCCTCTCCCCCCTCCAAAGAAATCCTGGCATTGTAACTGAGACTCACACATGGAAAAAGAGAGAGCCAGCAAGGATCTGATTTGCTGGAAGAAGCAGGGCTGTGGCAATGCAGGCTGCTTCGTGTCTGAACAGGTTCTTCCCAGCTTTCCAATGTCTGATCTGCATGTCTAATAGCACACATCTCGCTCTCCCTCTTTCCCTCTCTCCTCTGGTCAATCCATCCCCAGCCCTTACCTTGAAATGCTGCAGCTGAAGGATCTGGTCCTCGAGCTGTTGCCTCTTCCCTTCTATTTCCGTCTGCCTCTTCCTTTTTTCCTTGGCAAGGAGAAAGAAGGGGTGGGTGGGGGAAAACAGAAGAGAAATTGGCTGTCAGTGAGGTAGAGAGCCTGAAGGATTACAAAAATATATCGTTTCCCCCCTCTTGGTTAGAATGAGATATAGAAGCCAAGCCCTTTTGCGTACAAGACACCAGATGAATGCATGCCAACGCTCTACCTGCCTCACCGTCTGGAGGGACAGAAGCATCAGCTGCACGGCAAGAACATGTCAGCAAAGGACTAGCTACTTGTTTATTGGGAGGGGACAGAAGAACTGGTGTCACCTCTCTCTCCCTTTCCCCTTCTCCCAGACTCCGCTATGGGAAGAGCAACAGAGAGCCCCTCAGGGAAAAGGTGGCAGGAACACAACCTAACAACCGAGTTTAAAGGGACAATAACCTCTTGTGTCTTCTGCAAACTGCCAAAGGTAGCTCTGAGCGGAGCAAACAAGTGCTCAGGAAGCAGGCAACAAAAGTGGATGGTTATGTAAGAGGTAAAAGAAGGGTAAAAGCAAGATGAGCATGCCAGAGAGACTACTCCATAATTTATCTACAGCGTTTGGGGTGGGAAGAGAATGTGAATGGGTACTTCCAGTCCTTGCTCAGGTTTTCCCTGTGACAGTTCACTTATTCCTTCATTTGTTTATTTGTTGCCTGGCATTTCTTTTCATCCATAATATGACCTGTATTTATTTATTTGCTTGCTATACTGGTACCCCGCCCTTCTCTACCCAGACAGGGGGACTTAAGGCAGCTTATAATGGCACATGCCTCAACACAATCACCTAAACATTTTAAAAATTGCAACATATTAAACAGAGTTAAAACAGATTTTAAAAGTTAAAAACTTAGAAAACACGCCATCCAAGTTCATGGTCCGAGTCCGTTCCAAGGTCCATTGTACAAGGTTTTGATTCAAAAATACTGCATTGCCTCAGTTTCCAAAGGCCTGCTCACAGAGCTAGGTTTTGACTCTTTTCCTAAAGGCTAATAGGGAGGGAGCTGCTCTGGTGTCATTAGGGAGGGAGTTCCATAACTGAGGGGCCATCACTGAGAAGGCCCTGTCTCTTGTCCTCACCAACCATGCTTTTGAGGCTGGCAGGACCGAGAGAAGGGCCTCCCCAGAAGATCTTAATCTACGTGCTGGTTTGTAGGGGACAATACGTTCGGACAGGTAGCCTGGACCGGAACCTTATAAGGCTTTATAGGATAAAGCCAGCACTTTAAATTGTGCTCTCAGTAGCAAACTGGCAGCCAGTGGAGCTGATGCAACAGGGGAATTGTGCGCTCCCTGAGCGCTGCTGCGGTGAGCAACCTGGCGGGCACTCGCTGGACCAGTTGGAGCTTCCGAACAGTGTTCAAAGGCAACTCCATGTAGAGTGCACTGCTGTAATCTATATGGGATGTAACCAGAGCATGGACCACTGTGGCCAAGTCAGAATTCCCAAGGTACAGGCGCAAGCTACCCCACCTTTCTCAACTCAAGGTGGCTTTCAAATTTGGCAAAAATTCAATGCCACACAGGTAAACAATAAAACACATCTCATAAAATATAATGATCTAAATATATAAGCAATTAAAACATGTATCAATCAAACAGATTAAAGACCATATAAAATGCCGAGTCATAGTCTCATATCTGGCTTGGAGATCTGTATTTGATTCTCTGCTCAGCCATGAAAGCCCACCAAATTGGCTTTGGGCAAATCACACATTCTCAGCCCTCCCCAAAAAACCATGATGGGTTCCCCTTAGGGTTGCCGTAGGTCATAAATCACATTAAGGTACAAAATAGCAATAAGGGCCCACTATAATGGCCAAGGCTTTTGGTCAGTGCAATGAGCAATAACAGAATGGTGTCCTGAGATGGTTTTGAAGCAACTGATTTTGAAGTGGATATAAGTGATTTTAATGGTTGTATATATTTATGGTTTTATGTCTCAGCATTGAATATTTGCCGTATATATGTTGTGCTCTGCCCTGAGTCCCCTGTGGGGTGAGAAGAGCAGAATATAAATGGTTTAAATAAATAAATAAAATAGTGAGCTAAGGAAAAAAGTTAACCACTGCACGACAGTTTTTGAACCAATTTTGACTACTTTTGTGAAAATAAATGGTGCTGTTTTGACTACATAAGTAACAGTGTTCACCCAAAAAGGTCGCAAGTAGAAGGAGATCTCAAACATTCTTTTATAACACCAGCTTTTGCTCTGCTTCCAATGCAGAGCATCTTCTGGCAACCCCAGGCTCCTTCCTCACTGCCATATAAAATCCAGATTATCTACTTTGAACTGGATTATATGGCAGTGTACACTCTTATAATCCAGTTCAAAGCAGATAATATAGTTTATGTGCCTTGATATTGTAATGTAGAAGCGGCCACAGCTTCCTCTGGTTTTTCCAAATCCATCCAGGGCCACTCTTTACTAATAATAAATGCAAAGACTTTCTACAAGTGCTAATGCACTTATTTTGCCATTAGATATCTCCTTAGTGGCCAGCACAAAAGGGTGGAATCCAGATTAGATTTCTAGACTGCCCAGAGGCAACAAAAGTAGATGTCTTTCCTTTTGCTACAGCACAGAATCATACAGCTCCATTCCTTAAGCAGCAGCAATAGTTACCCGTCTTTTCTGCTGTGGCACCCATTTTTTGACTCATTTTCCTTAGAGGCCCGGTTGCTGCCCACGTGGATTTCTCAGGTTCCTTCTACACTGCCATATAGAATCCAGATTATCTGCTTTGAACTGGATTATATGGCAGTATAACTCATATAATCCAGTTCAAAGCATATAATGTGGGTTAACTATTTTGGTTTTTTTTTTTTTTGTCGTGTCAGGAGCAGCCTGGTGTGAGAGAATTGGCCGTCTGCAAGGACATTGTCCAGGGGACGCCCAGATGATTTTGATGTTTTTATCATCCTTGTGGGAGGCTTCTCTCATGTCCCCGCATGAGGAGCTGGAGCTGATAGAGGGAGCTCATCCGCCTCTCCCCGGATTCGAACCTGCGACCTGTCGGTCTTCAGTCCTGCCGGCACAGGGGTTTAACCCACTGCGTCACTGGGGGCTCCCAACTGTTTTGATAACCTGGATTATATAGCAGTGTAAAAAGGAGCCTAATAGGGGCATTTTAAAAACCTGGCTTTTTATTAAAGCTTTTTGACCATTCATCTGATTATTTTTTAAGTGTACATGTACTGATCAGTGTTAACTAGGCTCTTCCAACCTAGTTAATTTATTTAATACTTTTTGTCCTATTTTTTTATTTCAGAGGTATATTATGCACAAGGTTTTAACGTTTAGCCTTTTTTTAACTTGGTGAATTGATTTAACATGTTTTTTTAATCCTATTTAAATCATTTTGTTTTAATCTGTAAATTGTTTTAAATCTCTTCTATTGGTTTAATAATATGATGTCGGAGGATCTCATGACAGATGGTGGGATGGAAATGTAAATAAATGAGTATGGGTGTTTCGTATGCCTCAAAAGCCTTTATGGGGGGATTTTCATAGGATCTTTATCTGAGTCTGCAAAAGTTACTTTTGTGTAGCACAACATTCCCAAACTCTAGGCTCCCCCCCCCCAAACAAAAGATAGTGAGAGTCAAGTTACAAACTGCCTTAAAACCCAATTCCAAAGTCTCCAAAGGATGCCTATCACTGGTGCTTCTGCCTCTTAGGATAAGGTGAAACCTCCCCATCCACCACCTTCCTGTCTGCTTTCTTTGTTCTCCTATTTGCCACCCACATTGATACATGGTGCTTTGACTAAAAGCAGCTTCATTATTCATGTGAAGCGACTTCAGGAACTGCAAAAAAGGCTATGTAAGTCTCTTACTAGGCTTTCACAAAATACGTTGCATAAGGAAAACTGGTAGGGTGATCCATTTTTAAGTGCAGGAGTTCCCATAGTGACAACCCCAAAGAAGAGTCTAGAGTAACACACACACACACACAGACACCAGGGAGATTTATATAATTTAAATCCCAACCTTCTGTTGGAAATAGCAACCTTCTAAGCCTCCACTAACTGTTTGTAGATGTGTATAATTGTTAACCTGTATTGTATGTACATTTTGGTTTACCAGTTTGACTGTACTTCTTTGATGTGGGAGGGGATTCAGACACAGGACTTCATTTTTGTTATACAGTATGCTTTTAGACCTCAATGGAGGTGGATTACAGACTTCAGTGAGCACAGTTATACAGTTTGGACTGCACAGTGTTCCCTCACTTATCGTGGATGTTACGTTCCAGGACCATTTGCAATAAGTGAAAATCCACGAAGTAGGGATGCTATATACAGTAGAGCTGCTTCCGCCTTTGTGGCCCTCCCTCCCTTACTCACTGCCCTTGCCATGCTCACTCGCTCATTCACCCACCCTCCCTCGCTTGCTCATTCACTGGGCCAGGTCTCAGAAAACCACGAAACAGTGAGTCTGCAAAAAGCGAACTGCGAAGTAGCAAGGGAACACTGTATCTATATGATTAAAGACATTAGATTATGGACTAGTCTGCTGAATATATACAAGAAGTTTGTTAGTAAACCCGAGGTGTTATTTTAAAGAAGTCTTCTTTGTTTTTATCTCTGAGTGCATATTTTAACAAAGAAGTTCCAAGGGGTGTATATCTTTTTGGGTAATTGCAACTTCAAAGAAACAACCATCCTCTGCTACCAAATATATTTTTGTAGTGGCATGTCTTTATCCTTGGCAGTTTAAAAACATGGTTCTTCAGTTTAACAGCTGAGTTACCTGTGTGTTATTACATGAATGTTTATGAATATCACTTGTTTTAAGAGTTGACTTCTAACAAAGCCATGCTTTTCTTGACTAATGGTTTTCAAAAGGTGGTCTCCACATGTTCATGGAGATTCACATTTGCCAAATGGATATGACACCATTTTTACCTTTTCAATAAGGTTATGGTGAACTTATTTCCAATAGGTTATGTAATTTCCAATACCTACTGCCAAAAAAATAAGACATTCATAGTGGCTA